CTGTGGCCCCATCATAGGAGGCCACCAAATTCATCAGGCATGATGAATCATTTCACCAAGTGGTAAGAGCCAACAAGGGGAAATGCTATGCTGGACCTTGTTCTCACCAACAAGGAGGATCTTGTGGGGAATGTGTAGTCTGCTTGACCTGGCTTATGAGACAATTGAAAATGCAAAGAGTGAGCCCCTACCCCAGATGTACAAACAGGAATCTGAACCAGTCATCAGGGGTAAGAGTTGTTCACCTCCAAGGCTATAGAAACATCACCTCTGTTACTGTTCTATCACAGATAAGAGACTGGATGTACCACAGGTGGAAACAGCTGCTCTATTTGATTTTAATTCACCTTTCGGTTTTTTCTGTTGTGCAGATTGTTCAGGAAGTGCTGGATAAAGGCAGAAAATGTCACACATGCATCATGACAGTTTGTTGCCTCTCCACCATCCAAAATGCTGACAAGATTGCTGTGGTCCAGCATGGCAAGATCATATAAAGCAGGAGCTCCAGGCTGAAAAAGGCATCTCCTATTCTCTGGTCAGTGTTCAAAGTGGGACATGCAATGTGTGAGAGAGCAGTACCTGCTGCTAAAGTGCAGCTGCACAGCTGGTCCACTCTTTTGCATGAGACTATTAAGGATGTTTCACTACATGTGGTTTTGGTACAATTCCATAACTAGTTTCCTTAAACCTCATAACTAATAAATAAATGAGGTACATTTGCTTTAAGAACCCAACCTTCTTCTTCCATCAGCACAAAAGTTCATAGTTTTTCAAATAAAAGATTACACAGCAGCCATGAGAAAGCCCCACTGACTTGTCTAACTGGAGAGCAAAGGACTCTGAGTGGAGAGCTCCTTGTGTCCTCCAGGCACCAAGAAGATCAGCTCTGCAGCACACAGCATAGGTGCTCACAGAGAAGGGCACAGAGAAAGGCAGAGGGTTTGAGAGCAGAGGAACTGGAGACAAAATGCTTTAGTCAACAAGGAAATTAATACCACATTCATGGATTCCTGCATCCACAGCACACAAGAAGTAGCTCTGACAGCTCACAGAATTTAAACTTGTTCTCTCTGCATATATGTCTGTCTTAAGTTTCTCTAGGCAAGACTCAGTGTCTCAGCAGAACAGGAAATTCTGCTTACGCTGGTGACTGAATGCCATTTTTTTAATTATACATTTTATGAAATAGTTTTCCTTTTTCTGTATTTTTCGCAGGATTTCTGTGTTCCCAGAAGAGGCAGGAGTGGAAAATAAATGCATACAAATGCAAAATTACACTCATCATATTTCAGGCCGTTTTGAATGAATGTTCAAAGCAAACTGTTCTTGTCACAGTCACAAACAGGTTTACTAACCCAATTGAGGGGTGAAAGGTCATAACTGTCAGACAACTTATTAAATAAAGAATAAAAATCATCAGGCATAGTTTAATCCAAAATCCTAATCTACCTCACAGAAATCACAGCATCATAACAAGACGTTTCACTAACCACCAGAATTCAGAAAGTCATTTACTTCCAAGAAAGAAGGTGGATTATTACAAGCACTCCAGAACAGGAATAGATTCTTTTTCTGTTTTGGAACACCTCAAATAAACCATTAAGCAATGCGGGGTTGTCAGATGTAACTGAGACAGGATATACAAGTAGTCCAGTAAAGGCAGGGAAGACAGAGGCTGAAATGAGGAAATATGTTTTGGGGCAACAAGACACAGTGTAACACACCCTGGCCTGCAGAGAAGTGTCAGGCTTTGAGGAAGGAAATAAAAAGGGCAACTCTCTTCTTGCTACTGTGGACAAAAAATATGCACAGAACTCCCAAAGGGCAAAAAGACTGGGTCCATGTTAGCTGAGAAATAAGTTGTTTCTGTAAAACAAATAATAATCTTTGATCTCAAACTCTAAAAGGTAAAGAGAAAACAATGGATACTTTAGAATCTCTATTTCAAGTTCACTTGATCCCAAGATGATCTCTCTCACAAAGGTGCTACACATTAAACAGTCCACCCATAAATCAATTAATACAAAGTCAATTTTTAGAAGAATTTTATTTCTATGGCAGGAAAATACAAAGCTGCTCAAAGGAATCAAGTCTTAAAATCCTGAGAACCTTATCAAACTGTATTCAGTGCTTACTTTTATTGTGTGTTATTAGTGTAAAGCAGCAGATATTCACAGTTCACTAGGAAACTGAGAAATCTGAAAGTCATGCTGCTTTCTATCTTTATTATAGAGTGATCCTTTTTTAAAATACTTCAGATCATAGTGTTCTCATACTACAAACATAGTGGGGACATCCCCATTCACAGATCCAACGTTTATTTGGTATAATCCTGATTGCAAAAGTGAAAGGTAATTTATAAAATATCATATAGCCCTTCTGTTCCATAACCCACTATGAATAGGAAGCATAATGACCTAAGAGGACAGTGTGGTTACTCTTCAGTACACAGTTAAGTGCTCCACTGGCATAAACATCTGTAGACTACAAACTACTCTACATGTTACTACTAAGATCATAAATATGAGTCTCCCATCAATTCTCCACTCCAACATCCTGTCTCTCAGGTATGTTTGCATTGTTGAGGCATATTTTAATGTTGCATAGTTCTACACAGATAAGGTACTACTGCTTGCATTGCTGTTGCAAATGGCTACATTATTCTTAAACGGGTACTGTTACCACAGTAAATCCCATAAAAATAGATAGACTTCACATGGATCATTAAATGTCTTAACTTGAGTATAACAGTACTCTTGAGTAGCATTTCATTTTTAAGTACTACATATAGCTTGTGAGCTTGCAAAGCCTTTTATATCATTATCAAGCTTACAGCTGAGCTGTAACTGTTAATTGCAGCATGTCACGAAAACACTGGAACACAGTTCTACACAGCACTTCTGCATCAGTCTCTGGACATGACTTCCAAGAACAACAGGTAGTAACGATCCTGTCAATACAGAAAACAGTGAAGTTATCACTCTTAATTGTCATGGTCTAGGATAAAGTCATGCAAAGTGCCCTGAAATGTGAAATGACTATCACAAACATCCTGCCTCACCATTAGACAAGGACTCAGATCCCTAGTGCCTTCAGTAAGGCACAATAATGCTGACAGATCCCAAAAGGCTGTGAATATTTCTTCCTCTGCAACTAATTTAAGGTTTTCCGTAATTTTATCTTTATTATTTACCTAACAGAAGGTAAATCTTTATCTAGTTCCATTTATCTTAAGACAGCCATAGATTGAAGTATAACTGGTTTATATTCTCCAAGTGATTCGAATGTGTACACAATCCACACTTAGCTCTAGGAAGAAGTCATTCAAATCACACCTAAATCGTAAGCCAGCAAGTTATCTAAACACATTCTAATCAAAGTAGTTTTAGATTTGATAAAGAAACAATCATTTTTGTCCATGAGACCAATAAGCCCAAATTGGATCTTTTCAAACTGTATTATTTTAGGAGAATGTTTTAGGCCCTCCTTGTTACTCCGGTCTGGTTAGAGTTGAGATGTGTGTGTTGCTGCCAAAAACGATGGGCACTGTGCTCTCCTGTACTCTTGTCTGCTCTAGCTCAGTCAATTGCTATTTTTTCAAAAACCCCTCTGCATGTTACAAATGATCTCTAAAATAAAAGCCTATTTCAAAGTCAGCTAACTTCTTTTGTTACTCCCTTCTTTCACCTTCCCCATTCTTTACTTTCTGCTTATTGCCAGTATCATGGTGCCCACTTCACCTCCAGTATTCACCTCCAGAACACCAATGCCTCTGTTCTTATGCACCTCACTTCTCGAACTCTTCTGACGTTCACCCATCTTTCTTCTGTCTTTTCCTTTCCTAATCCTAGCTGTTAGCTGCCTTTCCCTCTGTGATAAATGCAGACCCATGCCCAAAATGAAATTGTATCCTTACCTGTCATCTCTGATTGAATAAAAAAAGCTATAGCCATGTTGTACCATAGGGACTGCAGATCCACTAAACCTAGTGTAGCCAGTCAGACTAGTTGAAAGAATAAAATTCCCACCTCCTCCGCTGGAAAAACACACAAAGAACAGCAGCAGTTTTAAACACAATTTAAAACAAAGTGAGCCCTAGAGGTAAAGAAATCAGCATGCATAAGACCTTGGTATCAAGGGACACAGCCCTCCACAGGACAAGAAAACGAGTTACCTAGCTGTGAAGGCTTTGTCCCCATAAAGTTCTGGCACTGGCAGTCCTTGCTCCTGTGCTATGAGCAGGAGACCCAGAAGATGACGATCAAAGCCTGTCAAATAAATGCAAATACTGAATCATTAACCACAACATTTCCTGTTTTTCTTCTTCTTCTGGTCTGGATAGGTGGGAGCTCAAATAGCAGTGGAAGGACATAAACGACAGTCTACTAAAAACAAGATTCATATTGTAGCATACAGAAATATTTCCCACATATTTGAGCTAAGAGGCCTTCATCAATCACTTTCAACTTGCAGCACTGAGCTTAAATGCAAACAACCTAAGTCACAGAAACCCAGCACAGTTCCTGTGTACAACAAAAAACCAAGAGAACTCCCACTTCAGCCAAGGAAGAAGAGTTCCACACAGTGAAAGGGACCCACTGGCAATTATGTGAACAAGGTGAAAAGGCTTTCAGGGTCACAACTGCCATGATAACACACTAAGTAGGAAGGAGAGAGAAGAAAGTTCATCAGGTGATTATTTCCCAGCTACTCTTTCTTATTCATAGAATAGTGTACAGTGCTAACACAGGTGGTTAGAATTTCACCCAAATCTCTCCTCTGCCTTAAAAGATCACATTTCTTACTCTCCAGCCAAGCATATATTTGACTGGAAGGCGTTCCAAAATAAGATTAAGCTGGACAAAAAACTGAATTAATATTCAAAGTGAACATATCTTTGGGGTACAACAAAGGGTGCAAGGACTGGGTTCTAGTTCTCCTCTTCAAAATTAAAGTATAAAATATTAAGGAGCAGTTTTTACTCAGGTTAAAAACAAGGAGACAATGTATTAGCATACAGTGATTTTTCCCTTTTTGTCCACAAGAAAAAAACAGAACAAGATTTTTGATCTCGGAGTACCTTTTCCATTCTCACATTCTTTCCTCATTTTATTGTGCTTTGCAAATGCCTTATGCATCAGCTGTAGTCGTTGATAATTCTGTGTAAAGCAGGGGGAGACAGGATAGATTAAAATAAAAAGACAATCCAAATGAGTAGCACATCAGGAATCACAGATCAGCAAGCTTTTCCATTTCATAGTTCCTAGCAATCTTAGAAGAAAATTGAAGAACTTAAAAGGTACATTAGAACCTCTCTCTCAAACTCTTTTTCCCAGATGCAAATTCCTTTTTGAAGAAAACTTTCTCTTTTGTTTCCTGCATCTGTTCTGTTAGACAGATCTCTTTTGTACTGAAAGACATTCTAAATGTCATGCTCTTTCCCAAACATGGTGAAACAATGAAAAATAACCACTGTGAACTAGAGTAATCAAACTCAAAAAACTTTCTACAATACCATTTATTCAGAAGGACACAAGTTTTTACCAGGTGTAGGTGCACTTAATGACCATCATGCCCTGAATTGCACTTTCCATGACCCAAAAAGAAAATAAATTAAAAAAAAAAACCAAACACAAAAACTGAAAAAAAAAGCAAAAAAGACCCTAATTAGAAACACATAGATGCCAACTACATTCCCTAACTGCCAGTTCTACCCAACGTTATAGCTTTTTCAATTTTATATTGAAACTTACACATTAGAATCAGAGAGAAGAGAATACAAATAACATGTTTTTAGTGAAGGAGGCATCCAGAAACAGCTCTAAACCTCCAAGATTTTAGATCTTCCTCTTTCACAACTTAAGAAGCATCCTTGGCCTTTTTATTCGTCACACTAGAGGCTGCAGCAGAGAATGGAAAACAAGGGCAACAGCCACTCCATTTGGATAAAAATCAAGCTACTAAGCTCACAAGGGACAAAAGAAAATTTGAGACAAAAGGATTTTTTCCGAAGTATCTAACTTTATGTACTTTCTAGTACCTAAAAGCCAGACATTTAAGCATGTTAATTTCAATACATTCAAACCGATATTTTTAAGCCATATAAATTCAGCATTAGAAAAAAAAGCAAGAGGGAGGTATCTGGAGATGCTATTTAACAATATAAAGAGAAAAAGGCTACAGCTAAGTGTTGGAAGTAACAAACCTCTCTATTACCCACAGAAACCTGATAATTGGTTAGAAGGTAACTGAAGTGCAAGGAAATAATAGGAATCCATATTTACAACAGGAAAGCAGACTTGGATAATGGCCAGAAAACTGAGTTTTAAAGCTGCAGCACATGTGAAAAGAAGCCAGATAAGACCAGGAAAACAAGCTCTTGAAGGCTGGAATTACCAATCACACATACTTTCTGATAGCCATAGTCCTGTCTGGTTTTCAGATGCATTAATAACATAAAACCTTTGAATTTTCTAAAGAAACATAAGCCCTTTGTGTCAAAACTCTTCTCCTTGCTTCATTTCTCTGAGAAATGTGCACTGAGGACAACAAAGAGCTTTAGTACAACTCTTTCTTGGCAAGAAAGGCATGACATGCTTTTGCCAGCCAAGCACCAGAGGGTAGTTGCTGGGAAAAGAAAAGGTTACTGGTTCAGCTATCCAGAGACAAACTCTGGAATATATCCCTGCTGCCACTAGGACAAAAATGGATTTCTATCTTGCTCTCAGTTGCAACATTTCCTGATTTCACTTGAATATTAGACCAACAGAACCACTCCAAAGCAGAATACTTTCGTTTCAAACCAGTAATTTTTAAAAGTGTGAAAAAAACCCAGTGTGAATGTAACTCAAGACAGTTACATTCTTGAAACCAAAAGGTAAATAGGGTGGAAAACTAAACAAGCCCACACATAACAACACACCTCATTCATGATGACCAGAACCAGAGTTTGAGCAACCCACGATTTGAAATCTGTCTCACTGGAAAGATGCCAACTCCCATCAATGAGACAAAAGAAAAACGAGTTTTAAACAATACAAATGACACGCCTTCTAAATACACGATGATTAAAGCAGGATTTCAGTATTTACACTGTCAGAAGGATCCAGCATGGACTTGCACCATTCCACTGCTTCCACAGTACACGGTCTTATGGTCTCTGTGCGGCCATGATAGAAACGCCTGGTCATGGCAGTTTCGTAACAGCAGCCAGGACTAAGAACAAAAATTAGGGAAGAGTATCTCATTAACTCAACAAAACTATTTGCTCTCTCAAGGAATAAAAGTGTCCTGCCAAGGATCTTGCTCAGTTACAAGTACCAGTAACCCAATAATTTTCTTTAAGTTATGTGTCTGAAAAAGAGTCACAAAAGCAACTCTACAGGCTTTTATGAGACACAAGACTGAAAAAAATTGCCAGTGCTATAATCGTACCTTTAAAAATTGTGTTGTCACAGCTATTTTCTGCAGACTACAGATCTACCAGCCTCTACTAGAAATAAGCTGAAATTATGCAAGCTCCAGTTTCACTATGTATTTCCATTAAAGAAACCACATATAGTGTCCAAACTCTCAAAAATGAGAGAGACACATTTGAAATAGCAATGTGTCCCAATGCATTTAGAGGGAAAAGGCTCAAAACCTTCTCTGCTGCATACTGACAGTCATCCAGCTTTTACCTGAAGCACCTGCAGCTCTATGAGAGTCTATCATCTAATATAGAACTTACATGAAACATACTTGTGTGTTTGGAACAGACCAAACAGGCTATTTTAGTCAAACAATTAATTTATCCTAATGTTCAGCAAACTAAGATCTACCAGCCTTTGTTATGATGAGACACACACCACCAGTGACCAAGCACCATGTTCCTATGATGAAATCCTCTTCCTTCTGAGGCAAGCAATACTCAGCAGGTCAGTAATGACTTATACAAGCCATAATGAGCGCTAGTTAGCAAACAGAAACTTAGGAACACAAATACCTGAAAGACTGACACCTTTTATCAGTAATACAAAATAAAATTACACATCCAAAAATGCAGAGGTGGGCATTTGGAGGGTCACTATCTGTGTGTCTATTATTCTGCCCGAACCTTCACATCTGATGCTGCCAAAGAAAATGAGACACTGAGGTCTGTGAGGCCTTTTACAGGCTTGGAAGACTAGCCATTGTACATTTGGTGTTTGCCCAAGTATTTCTTTTGTACAGCCCAAATTCACACTTTCATGGACTGTGTTCTGTTGTTCATTCCACAATGTGCACACACATTGTCCCCATGGGCACAAAGACACAATTCTTCTGAAGCAAGTAAGGCCCTAGGCAATTATTACTTTAAAACCCCCTTAGTTCTTCATTCTTACACCACCACAGCAAATTACACACTAACAGTGCAAAGCCACTGTACCCCTTTACTCGAGAAACTAGTTTTTTATTCCTAATGATATGTTCTTACCGTCCATGACATTTGTAATAAGCAAGCTGAAGGGCAAGCTGCACAAACGTATCAGGATGAAGTTTCTTCTTTCTAATCAATGCTTTGCCAAAAGATGTGAAGGCATAAGACACTAGCTGCAAGTCAGATACCTGTCATACCAAAGGAGGAGAAAGAACACAGTAGTCAAGAAATATCACAATTTGGACCACTTCAAATAAAACACACTCAACACAAACCAACGATATAATACATTTAACCAAGGTGTTCAGCCCCCTCATTCATCAACTTATCAATAATAACATATTCACGCCTGTTCTCCAGCATGGAGAAAGACAACTAAAAACATGTAAACAGAATTTTTAAAAAAATATCGTCAGTAACAACTAAAAGAAGCAGCAAGAAATTCCACCTTCTTGTAATAGAATTCTTTAGTACGTTCAATTTCATCTATAATTTTCTGATCCACTGTGAACACCAGTTCCTCTGGCCATGGAATATCCCTCACATTATCTGATCCCTGGGAAGATGCAGACAGAAAGAAAGAAGTGAAAACAGACAATGTTATCCATAAAAAAAATTTGTTATCCATAAGAAAAGAAAAGATATTTACAAAGGATAGATACCTTCCATTTTCCCTCACTTTCAATAATCTTCTTCTCGGCATAAGATAACATGGTAATTAAAGCCATGGCATCAAAAGGAGAATGCTAGAATCAGATAAGAAAAGAGAGCACATTATATGTATAACTGCAAGAAGACCAAACCGCATTTTTCCCTACCCCACTCTAAAAAAAAACTAGTTCTGCAATATATATAGAACTACTCTATGTCCACCCACTGTTTTGAGCATTCTGCAGCTGGACAGGGAGGCAGAATGTACTACTGCTGTGGAAAGTCAGATTTTAGACAAGATGCAAGCCCTTCTGACTATATAATGAGGAGTTAAAAACCCCATGAGTTTAAAAGCCACAGCTGTTCAAATAGCTACATCATACAAAGGGTTAATTTTAAGTCTTTTTGTGCACTGCATTTTTTTCTTTGCAACTGTCCATCATTAAATACTTTTAGAAATCAGATTTTAATTTCAGATCTCGTGTTATTAATTCAAGTATGGTATATCATCAAACACTGAGGAAGCAGACTGCTTTTGGAAACTTGCCACACAAGGTGCCTGGTAAACAAGGCTACAGTAAAGAGGAACACACTAAGCATTTAAAATAATACTTGGAAAGGGGAAATTCAGTAAATAAATATTTGAAAGGTTTACAAGATGGAAAAAAAAAATTCAACTTACATCACAGAAGGCACTACAGGTTCCATTGGAAAAGAATATGCTATTGTAGGATTTATCTCCCCAGCGTGCAGTCGGGTCACCTGCCAGCCCCAGCCTTGTAAGCTAAAGCAAAATTACACACTGTGAGTTCTAAAAAACACTGAGTACACTGCAACCTCTGTCAGCTAAACCTAGTATACATTAAGATGTTGAGACTTCCCTGAGAGATAAGACATTTTCATCCAGTTCAAGATGAAGCGCGATTATAAGCACAAGTTTTTAATTTAAAATGTGATACAAAGTTGATGACTGTGTTTTTGAAGACCCTGAAGGATAGAGGGCTAAAGGTTATGAAGGCAGATTTCAGACATTTCCACTTCCAATGTCCTAACAATTCAAGCTATTTAAGTTTTCCTATGGATCAAAAGAGAATCATTATTTGCATATTTATCTGCTTCATTTTCTGTTATGAGAGAGCAAGAAATGCTACTTTTAGATATATACAGGGGAAATTTTTATCAGATATGAATTATCAAAAATCCTTAGCTACCTCTGTGTAGTCCTCAGGAGTTGCATGGGGACTAGAATCATCAAGGCAGACCACGAACAAACTTCTCTGAATTTTTTCCAGAAGAGTTAAGTTCTTTGGATCAAGATCAATCAAATATTCCCGTAACTAGAAGGCATAAAATGACAAAGCTAAGTCAAATAATATGTTTCCAGAGAGCACAATGCTTTTCTCAGGAAACAACTGTTTAAGTATTCCTACCTCTGCCCATTTTGTCCTTTCATTGCTTGTTAGTGCTGCCAGTCCTGGTCCATCTGGCTCACTATGGCATCTTTTCTGTATATAAGTAAGTTGCCTTTAAGAAGATTTCAAAAAATGAAGTTAAAAAAGAACAGATAGAGAAAAGATAAAAGTCACCTTTTTTCTCTGTTTTATTGTGAAGCTGGAATTTTAGTTCCAGATTCACAGGCCAATGTGAATTTTCAGGAAGGACAAATCAGCTCCCTCAGACTCTCAGGACAATCTAAGACCTGCTCTGTTTTCAGACAGTAATGGTTAATTCAAACTGCAGCTACAGGCCCAGTACAAACTCACATGTAAACAATCATGGTCCTACTTAATTTCAAACCAGATCCAAGACTTCAACAGTGCAGGTCAGACTTTCTGGAGCAGCAGATAAATGCAATACTGCAGCTTTTATAGCAACTAATCAGATACAGGACAAAACTTCCACTCAAGATAAACCCTGAAAATTAAAGCAGAACACTGGCTACAGTACATCCTAAATGCAGAGTCTGAACTACACAGGAGTAATTCTCTTCCTACCTTTTCATTGCATTTTCCTTTAGAAGAGCTATTAACAGAGAGATAATTTTTAGTTTGCAAATTCAGTTTTTCACATTCTGTTCTAGGTGTTAAAGAAGCTCCACAAATTACAGCCACTCAGTGTGTCCTGTTCTTTGTTCTGGCACTCTTGCCCATTAAACTTCACTACTGATCTTTCGTTATACAGTTGCCAAAAATATAAAAGACACTTATAATAAGGTTATGAAAATAAAAAAAAGGCAAACAGAAAACTTCAACAGACCAAACTCAACCTGCCCTTCCTATACAGAGTAACTTTAAGGGATTTTGTCTGCACTCCAGGTGTTCATTTCATTGTTACTTTATTAACAGGTACAACTACTAAAATCAGTAGTATATTATGTACAAAATTATGTAAAAATACATACATTAAAATATGAAGTATTTAAAGTACCAGACTTCTTTTTAAAGTGATTTTTAGCTTCTCTAACCATTTTTTGTCTTGCCTGACAAATCTGGCCACCCACTTTTTGCCAGTTTTAATTACGAGTCTTCCCTTGTGCTCCACAAGCAGCACTGTTGACAAATGCAGTAACTTACCCCCAGATGAAACTAACAAGGCTTCTTTAGTAAGAAGATGCATGTAGATCCCAAATCTATCACACGAGACTTATGCTGAAACTACTTCTGCATGTGACATTAGAGTTTGACCAATAGCATAGGAAACCTTGTGGCCACAACTGTGCTGACAATTTTAAAGCCAGCACCTCAGCACAGTGCTAGGAGATAGCATACAGCATGGAAAAGCTTTAAACACTGCCAGTTACACTAGTGCTGCAATTTAGTATTTAAAGAGCCAAAATCTTCCTCTTTGTTTCCCTGCAGCAGCTCAGGAGCATCAAAAGAGCCACAAACACGGCTGGTTGCCACAGGTCTGGTGCAAAGACAAGAAATGCTAGTGAAATGCTGCTGTACTGCTCTGTAACTAGCAGGAAGTCAATTGTGTGTGCTGTGGGTATGGACTCTGCTACACTCACCAAGAGAAATTCCAGCCCCTCTATTCTTGAGGAAATCGACCACAAGTGCATTAGACTTGAATCAATATGACAGTGGGGCTTCATCTTTGACAATGATTAAGTAGAAATGAGACAATTATCAATGTGCATTTTTCCTGATAGGAACAATGTTATTTATTTACAATCCTAACAATTCCATGTAATGACTTCTTATATAAATGATATTTCCTACTAAAGTCTCTTCATTCAGCCCTTCTGTGTCATGTTCTGTGGGTGTATTACAACAGCACATGACCATCAGGCTTTACAGAAAGAAGTTGCCATTCACTAAAAAAGAATTTACTCAAATCTGAACCTTCAGCTAGAGGAGAAGCTGTAGCCTCTCTCACACCTATTCTTTGGGGTGAAGGGAGTAGAAAAAAGAAAGCCTCTTCAGTATGCAGCTTAAATAGGACAGCTCATTTAGAACAAGTTAGTTTGAGAACCTGAAAATCTCTGGAGGAGTCACCATACTGCCCTCGTGCATAGCATCAAATGCAAACACTCGACCTCGACACAGGACTATTAAGTGAGATGGGCATTCACCTTCATTCTCTGAAATGAAAAATAAAAGTAAGTGAAAATATGGCCTTGGGGATAAAGTGAGTGACAGATACAGGAAAAACTCAGCAAATCCTACAGACCCTTTTTTTTTGTCCAAAATGTGGCAGAACTTATACAGTTAAAAACAGGTAAGATTTTAAAAACAGATAACTTTTCAAGTCCAATTGCATTATCTCACTGCAAATTTGAAGATATTTTAAAAACCAAGAGAAGTCATAACTTGCATTGCTATAAACTACTAAAAGTCATTGTCATTACCTAGTAGCAAAGGTCACTTATTTGTGTATCCTGTAGGCAGAAAGACTCTCTGGTGAAATGAGTGTTCCTTGCTGAAAGTTGACCTAACAACATTTGTCTTGCAGGAGATAGTTTGTTGAGCAAATCTGCTGGTAAGACACTCAGCAAACAACAGAGTCCTTCAGTTGTCAGAGTGTTTATGCAACCAGCTTCAGTTATGGAGCTTGTGATGCACCACCATGTCAATCGTACCTGACTAGCACATGCACTTCTGTAAAAAGGGAGCACTGACACACCAATTTGGCCACTATACAGAAATTCAACTGGTACTAGCCCACACCAGGACAGGCATATTGGCACAGCACTGCTCTACTGAATCCATCTATCCGGAAATTAGACTAAAGTTGGAAAACACTCTCCTGGGTTTTAGTATGGTCTTTGACTCTAAGCTGAAATTAGGTGCCCTACTCTGAAATCTGAATATTGCTTCAAGTGTTTAGACCATGTCAGTTCCCTCTATAGTCAAAGGAGAAAAACAGATCCCTCTCCAGGTGACAATTCCTTCTTATACACCTGCATATTTTAATGGCCCAAATCCTTCTCTAGAGGTATTCTCCATGAATCACAGAGAAACAAGACGCCTAAGTGAACTAAATATTTCACAGAGGCAGACAATCTACATGGAAATGCATCTCACTTGCTGTGTATGACATGAAAAATCATATAAGCAAGACTGGTTTAATAAAGTCCTTATAATATTTTAAGGGAGAAAAGGGACATGAATGACATAAATTGCCTCTCCATAGGGTAACTGCTTTGTTTATTAAGTGTGATCATAACGGAACATCAACTTCCAACCATTTGAATGTTTCTTCTATGTTTTGGTATTTAAACTGACTCTTCAATGGTAATGCTAAGATGAGAACCCTTGAAACCTGCCTTCAACTTTGCATTTTCTGATTCTATCACATGGAACAGAGATTTCCTCGCATATTTTCTATGGAACAAGCAATACCTCCTTCTTCTTGAATTCCTGAGTCTTACTGAAATTCACATGATTACCTAAAGCAACACTGTTGAACAATGCTGGAGGCATCCGAAGGTGTGTGGGAGGCCTGTTACAATTTCAGTTAGCTGATTACTAATGCTACGGTATTTGTTAGCCAAGACTGAATAAGAACATCACACTTTTACTCTAGCTCTTGATCCTATACCCTAGAAAACTGTTGGGAGTTTAAGAGAGTGCCATCAAGGAGCACTATGGAGTACTTTCAAGACTGGTACCAGAAGCAGCTGACCAAGCCAAGAAACAGCACAATGATAGAAAGTAAGAATTACTCCAACAGAATGTACAGGAATACACTTGAGAAATGCATCCTGTGAAAAAAGATTCAATGGTTACAATGTTGAAATTCTATCCATATAATACAGGGAATCCACACACATGTATAACACATGGAATTTGTCTGTTATCAATTCTTAATGCTGGCACACTTTTTATATGCATCAGGCTGGTAACATGCAATTTGAAGCGGAGCTTTCTTTTAATCATATCTAGTAAGAACTAGGTATTGGACCAAAAAGGGCATTTGTAGAGGAGATATCTTCTTTGCTTCCTTATATAAGCACTCAACAACCAGTATCTGATTTAGTGGTTGAGGAAGCAAGTATTTTGTGATTAAAGCAACCACTCCATTAGCCCATTAATACAAAATCATTTGCTTATATTAACCCCCAGTTTTGTTTACCAGTTTTAAAATAACTGCCGATCGAGTCTCTGGTAACTCCAGGAATTCTGCAAGTGCAGAAGAGCATTCGAAATTGGTTCATGTCCAGAACACTATTCCCAGACCTCTCTATAGCCACCTTCTCTCTGTAGTAAACAAATACACCAAAATTAAACAAAAGAAGCAATAATGATGGAAGAAAATCAAGGGAAGACAAACCTGTCTTTTACTGCAAAGAATGCATGCCAATAAACACAAACATACTTTTGCAACTAAAGGATACATGGATCATTAATATTTAGGATCAAATACTTTTTCTTAAAGCCTTACGCTCGTAACAGATCCCAGTACTTCAGGGTGTGCCATATATTCACACATGCTCTTTCTATCTGAGTGCCCTCTTTGGGTGGCCAGCAGTGCTCAATATATGGACCAGGGCCTCCCATATTACAGTGTATCTGCGTTGAGTTGCGAAGATCAAGATAAGCCACGTTCAGCCACCAGTCCTCCAGCTGAAAAGAAAAATGTTTAGCATCAGAACTAAGTAATTTTTAGTCATTAATTCTTTAATAATCACCTGACTGTTCAACTGTCTGCTCTTTTCACTTTTTTTTTTTTTAAATACTTTGAATAGTAGTCCCTGGATAACACAAGGCAGGACAGTGGGTCTAGTAATGACAGTTAGGTTGGACTCGATGATCCTTGAGGTCTCTTCCAACCTGGTTGGTTCTATGATTCTGTGATAGCTACCTGCTGAAGGCAGCAACACATCTAGCTCTTCTATTTTCAAGCTTGAAATAAAATTCAATATTGCTTAAGAATATTAAACTGTAAGTTATGATGAACAATTCTTCCCTGGTATTCATCATCTTAAACTCTTGCAGATATCAGCTGCGGCCACTGCGAATATCAGACAGATTACTCCATGAAGAATGGAAGGAAAGTAGACTGGTGTTGAGAAGGGATCTGAGATGGACAGTTCATAACGTATTTTCTCCACCATCATCTGAAAATCCCCACTCTGGAGTGTGTCATGTTAAGATTTACAAAGCCCTCATGAATTCCACTTGGTAATGACATTCCTTGTATCCCTTTCTCTGTTGGAAGACCATTTTAAATGCTACCACACAGCTTCCTTCTGGGAAGAAAGAAAGACCAAACTCTAAATTCTGAGTTTGGTTTTGTTGGGTATTTTTCCCCCAGGGTGGAAACAGTAGGGACAGAAGTCACCGAAGCAGAGACTGACAGATAAAGCACTCAAAAGGTGGTAGGTAACTTTCAACTTCAGTCAGTTAGCCACTCAGCTTTAAAAAAACCAAATCACACATATATAAGTGAATGCTTTCATATCCATAGGCCAAGTGGCAGATACAAGGAAGATTCTAAGATTTGAAAAAGTGAAATGACTCTCTGAATCATATCCTGGATAACCAGCCTTCCATAAGCTGAATTAAGATTTCTTACACTGAATTATGATTTCTTACATATCTAAATACATACCCAGTTCCTTCTCATTTTAGCTCTTTCCAGTAATTTCTGATGCAACTCTTAAAAATTTTTTAACTATATCCTCAGTTCTTTGATATTCCTCTTGGTTTAGAAATGGCTTCACTGTTAAAAACAAAAAAAAGAAAAAAAAAGGAAAAAAGAGGTTATTCTAAAGACAATTGTATACTGAGATTTATTGCAAGATTCAGATATTCACAGGCAATGGAGTGTATGTAAATTTATTTTTCTAAAACAAGTATTTGAAAGGGAAACACCTTTTAAAAATCTGTAAAAAAATCAGTGTGTTCTACTAAAACATACATACACACTTTTAAATAAATACAGCAGCTAGCAGATAAAAGTAACTGCTGAAAACCTGAAATACTTAAGAGATAACTAAATCAAATATCTTTACGACTGTAGCTGGAAATACTATGGAGTTCTGCAACTCCATCAGCTGTCACAGAACTCACCAAGTAATTAAATGTACAGGAACTTTGCAAATTAGCACATTGAGCCATATGTGTCTGCCACTCTACTGCACCAGCTATAAGCTACTTGTCTATTTTCAAGCCTATTCATGGTCTACAAGCAACTTGCCCATCAATTCTCATTCACTGTCCATGTTACACACACCTATGAACAATACCAAAGGCAGTTACTGCTACTCAGTTTTCCTGTTTTTCTATAATTTTGGATTTCTCTCGGATCATGTCGCATATAGGCCAAAGTTATCCACAAACCCCTGCAAAATGAGTCATTATTTTAATCAAAACTACACTTAAAGCCTTTTTACCATGAAATCTACTGTCAGTAACAGGCACTGCTGTTGTCAGTTTCCAAGCAGGCACATCTCATTGTTGGTGTATATTTTCTGTTAACTTCCTGCTTAGACTGTGAAGTCAGTGGCAAACAGAATGGAGGGGTGTGGGGTGTGTTTCTGGTGATGCAATGCCTACTCACTGAGGTCTGATTCATTTTTGAGGCTGTTAGACACTACTGTCAGTTAATTTCTTGTCTGCCTTGCTAGCAATAACCCTGTGACCTACTTACAGCTGTTAAGAACCAAGGAAGGATACTTGTTTAATTTTTAGTAGTAGTGTATGTGCATCATCTCTAATTTATCTTTTGCAAGTAACAACAGAGTTTCAGCTGTCTGAGGTCTCAAATATTTACCTATCCTTGTAGAGTTAAAATCTTACTTCCTCACAACTCTTTCTTGCTGCAATTATGACTGCTTGCCTGCAACCATTATTTTTCTCTTCTTCGAAGATCTAGAAATCATCTAGTCCTACACTTCATCTTAGCAGGGTCAGTTACAGCAAGTTGCTCAGGACTGTGCTGGGTTTTAAATAACTCCAAGGATGGAGACTCTACAACCTCCTTGGTAGTAACCTGTTCCACTGCTTGACCACTCTCGCAAAATGAATTTTCTTATGTTTGAAAGGAATTTCTTGTATTTCAATTTGTGCTCATCACCTCTTATTCTATCACTGGATATTACTACAATGTCTGGCTCCATCTTCTATACTCCTCCACAACAAGTAATTACACATATTGCAAAGATCTCCCCTAGATCAATTTCTTCACCTAGCTGAACAATCCCAGCTCTCAGTCTCTTCTCGTGTCAGATAATCCAAGCCCTTAATCACACTCATGGCCTCTTGCTGGGCTCACTTCAGTATGTCCGTGTCTTGCTTGTACTGGGGAGCTCAGAAATGGGCACAGCTGGCAATGCCCCTTCTAATGGAGCCTAGCTGCAAGGCTCGTGTTCCACTGCAGGTCCGCCAGGACCTCAGGGGCTTTTCTGCAAAGCTGCTTTCCAGATAGTCAGCCCCAGCTGATGTGCTGGTGTGGAAACTTACTCCCCTCTGGGTGCATGACTTAGCATTTCCCTGTGTTTGTTGAGCTTCATAAGGTTCCTGTCAAGCTGTTCCTCCAGCCTGTCAAGCTCTCTCTGATCGTAGTACAACCATCTGGTGTATCAGCCACTCCTTCCAGCTTTCTATCATTTCCAAACCCAGGGCTCACTCTGTCCCATCATGCAGGTCATTCATGACCATATTAAAAATTACTGGACCCCAGGATAGAAGACACACCACCACTGACTGGCCTATATATGGAGTATGTGTTTCTGTTCACAAACCTTTGAGCCCAGCAGCTGAGACAGTTTTTAGACCATCTGATTGTCCACTACCTAGCCCATATTTTATTAGTTCATCTATGAGAAATTTCTTTAAAAAGCTTTTGAAGTGCCAAAAGCCGTGCTAAAGTCAATATAAACAATTGCCCGCTGTTCTTCCTTCATCCAGCAAGACAGTCACCTCCTCATAAAAGGCTATCAAGTTGGTCAAGCAGAATTTCCTCTTCATAAACCCATGTTGCCTGTTTCCAGCCACCTTCTTGTCCTTCATAAGCTCACAAATGGTTTCCATGATTATTTGCCAGGGATTCCCAGGGATTAAGGTGAAGTTGATTGGCCTATAGTTCTCAAAATCTTCCTTCTTGTCCTATGCTGATCCTCTTCCACCAAGAGTAAGTCCACCTCACCCCTTTCCAAAATAATTCAACTTTTACCCTAATCATATAAAGCATTTCAGTATTTTGCATGACCTGTCCTAAGGTGAAAGATAAAAATCCATTTTCAGATACAACCTGGCCTCCTTATGCTACTCCACAACAGTATAATGCAATTCCTAGTGATATTCTTCAGACTCCATAGAACAAACACAGAGACTGCGGGAAGAATACTACCTACAAATGTGGTTTTAAACACAGGCTGACAACCTTAGGCAGCAAGGCAGAACATCCACCTTCCAGCATCATCATACAGTGTTTGTGTTCAAATTGCACCGGGACCTCCATGTTCCACTGCAACACCATCACAACTGGAAAGGTATCAGCATTCTCCTTACACCTCCACCTCAGATAACCAGATAAGAAATTCAGGAAGTGACTAATATATCTAGACCTCATCTAGATGCAGCTTTCAGATATGAAATTCAGGAAGTGACTAACATATCTAGACCTCATCTAGATGCAGCTTGAATTGCCACACCACCAGGTGTGAACAGAAAAAAAAAAAAGAAATAATAGCAACACAGCCATTCACCTATAGCGTTTAGCAGATCACAGTTTTCACCCTGAAGCTGAAAGCCTTCTGTCTAGCAGATCATAGTTTTCACCCTGAAGCTGAAAGCCTTCCCAGATTGAGGGTAGTCCAACACTTGAGTTTCACAGAAGGTGACCTTATTACCACACACTCTTGAAAGAGGGAGTGATTTATCCTCTATTATTCAAGTTACAAAGCCATTACAGAGCAATATGCACATAGAAAATGGAAAAAAAACCCAACAACACAAAATTACAAGGTTCTGTTCTCTATTCCTAGAATCATTTAGGCTGGAAAAGGCCTTTTAAATAATTTAGGCAAACTGTTAAAGGGGTGACTAAGAGGGCTAAGAGACTGGAACACATGATGAGATGAAGCTGAGAGCTGAGTTGTTCAGCTTACAAAGAGAAAGTAAAAGAAGACCTTGCTGCACTCTTCAACCCATGGAAAGGCATAGTGAAGATAAAGCATAGCTCCTCCCAGAGATACAGAGAAACAAGATGAGAGAAAATGAAATAAAGTTGGAATGCACAAAATTTCTGACAAAGAAAATGTGAAGTTTTCGAGGATTTTGTTGTTGTTTCTTGGTTTGATTTTTTGTTCCCCCTCCCACAGTTGTGAAGGTGATCGAACAGGTTACAAAGAACAGGTTACACTGGAAGAGAGGCTGTGCAATCTCCATCCTTACAGATAAACAAAACCCAGCTAAGCAAGGCCTAAGCAACAGGCTGTAGTTGAACCAGCTTTGAGCCAGAATCTAGTCTAAATGAACTCTTCCCAACCTACATGATTCTTTGAGTACAGGGCCTCTTTCCATTTAAAAAACTTGAATCAGATGTAGAAGCAGCACTACTAGGAAGAAGCAGAACTCAGTGTCTTTCTCACCAGAGTTCAGTGAAACTCCAGCCCACAGATCTTGTCTTACTTTCTGCATAGCAAATCAGCTCAGTCCATGAACAAGAAGTATCCCAGGAAAGACATCTTCAGTTGCATAGTTAAGGAACCCTCTGGAAAACTGGAACTTTGGGTTTTCATACTCTCCTGTTGATTCCAAGTTTTTGAATCTCAACCTCTCGGGTGAACTCGAAGGCCAAATAACATGGTATGGTCACCTTCTCTGCTCAAGGTTACTCATTAAAGAAGAGGCAGCTTAAATAAGGCACATTCTGAGACATACTTTGTCCAGCTTTTCCAGCTGACTGGCTTTAAACAGACCAATGCTTTAACAACAGGTGCCCTGACTAATGTTCTAAAATCATAGAATCATCAAGGCTGGAGGAGACCTCTAAGATCATCAAGTTCAACCATGAGCCTGTCACTCTGCTGAAACCCCTAAGCCACATCCTCCAGCACCAGATCCAGACACCTCTTAAACACTTCCAGGGATGGTGACTCCAACACCTCCCCGGGCAATCTATTCCAGTTCCTGACCACTCTAACTGTGAAAAACGTTTTCCTAACATCAAATCTGAATCTCTCCTGTCTCAGTTTATGACCATTTCCTCTAGCCCTCTCACTGCAGACACGGCAGAAGAGACCATCTCTCACCTCTCTACAACCCCCTTTCAGATACCTAATTCCCTCAGCCCTTCCTCATACAACGTAAGCCTTGCCCTTTGCTGGACTCGTGTCAGTGCCTCAATGTCTTTTTTAATTGAGGGGCCCAAAACTGAACACAGTACTCAAGGTATGGCCTCACCAATGCCGAGTGCAGGGGGGACAATCACTTCCGTAGTCCTGCTGGCCACACTATTTTTGATACCAGCCAAGATGGCACTGGCCTTCTTGGCCACCTGTTCACCAGCACTCCCAAGTTCCTTTCTCTGTCCCTTTTCTTATGTGCCTAGAATCCTCCTTTAACCAATGACAGTGTTTCTCAGGAATGATTCCTAGCCTCTATGAAGAGTCATTTGGAATTGTTCTTCAGAAGCACCTTCTTTCCATCACTCACTTTCACAGATTAAAAAAATGACAAGCTTTACCAATGAGAAGTAGAGCTAGTGCCTAGAACTGTGCACTGCATACCTCGGCTTTATGTGATTTGTACAAGGGGAGACTGTGGCAGACCAGCAAACACTGGACTAATCTTTCTTCAACTGCCAGTGAGACTGAAGGAGAACAACAGCAATGATCAAAAGTTACAGAATGATTTATGTATAAGAAACAGCAAGTAGCAACCAACTTCAGCATGAAAAGAAAAGAGGATGTGTGATAAGGTACGTATGAAAACCCAGATCAGAACCTGAAGACAAGAGCAAACAAATTCACTGCCAGATTTTCACTCCATCAGAGAGTTATTTATTAACCTGGAGAGCCAGTTGGGCTTACAAAACTAAACAGCAATTTTGTCATCACTATTCGGTACTATTGCAGCACAACTTTAGTTAGTCTGCACTGCAACAAAATGTATTTTTTTATACACACATACACATTTTTTTCTCTAAAACCACAATTTCTACATTCCGCATCAAAAAATGATGGTGTAAGAAACACCAAAGAAATGCCCCATCTCCACTACACTCAGAATAAATGGGAACTCTGAGTGAACTTACAGATTTCTATTTTGGGAAAGGGAAATTTTGGCATAGTATGTTACTGCTAAGAAGAGAACTCCAGGTCTTACTCTGTTAGCATTCCTGTAATGCATGTAAGGTGGTAAGACACAAAGCAGATGTTCCAGAAAAAGCTCAGTGTCTCAAGAGTTCTGAGAATTATTGAAGAAACCTAGGAAAGCAATCTCGAGATACTAGGTAACGTATCCTTGTCATTCCCAATATATCGAAGCCTGATTAAATAAAGAGCTAATCAGCTTTATAAACAAAACTAGATACATATACATTGACGTTGTTTTCAAAACTTTTCTCTTATGTGATCTTCTTTGGACTAGTCAACATTTCAAGGCAGAAACCACCCACATTAAATTATCAAAAAATGCTCACCACTGACTTTTCCTACTACTGTATAGTTAATAAACCTTCTAGCTCACAAATGAAAAGTTTGAAACAACTGATGTTGTTCAAAGATCCTGGGCAAGCACAGCCATAAACAAGCAGTTATACAAAACTAAATTTGTACATGGAGAAATATCTTTTACTAGACCAGCTGATACAGCTGAAAAAATATAATCCACCCTCAAACCAAAACATTAACCCTCCCACATGCCCAACTCCCTTGAAGAAAGTTAATTAGGGATAAAATAGAAATGTTTACTCAGGTTGCTCCACGCACTTTGTTGTTTTGAACCTGAAAAAGGCCTTTGGCACTGTAAGCTTGACTGTGTCCCATGCCCCACCACCACCAGCTGATACAAGCCATCCCTGCAATCACTTTGCAAACATCTTCAGATTAGCCTGGTTACAACAGCCCAGCCCACCCCACTATTCGAACATTAGGTCATTACCGGCATCGAGGTATTTACTTAAAGATTCGTCAAGAGGAGGTACTGGCAAGGGAGGCAGAGAGTCTTGGTACTGAAACGTGTGCTCCTCGGAGGATCCAAGCACTTGCTTTTCCATGATGCAGACCTGGACCACAGGGGAACACAGACAGTTCAGGAAGACGCATTTCCCAATAGTGTCCTCTCCCCCTCCCCTAGTCTTACAGTATTTACACGGCACAGGGCTCAGACGCGTTCCCAGCACAGCCAGCACCGCGGAGTCCTGGCTGCCGTGCACAACACGGGCAAACCACGACCGAGCGGCTACTGATCCTTTCCCCGCGACGGCGCGACCGCCCAGCTAGAGCACGGCCGCGCTCCCTGCCGAGGAGAGGCCACT